GTGTGTGTGTGTGTGTGTGTGTGTGTGTGTGTGTGTGTGTGTGTGTGTGTGTGTGAAGTGCTGAGCCTCTTCTGTGCATTTGATGTGTTAATCTTTCTCATCTTTAAATGTTCGATTTGTTGTTGACTTGTCGGGCTCATGAGCTCCTCTCTGTTTACATCATGTTGCCGTTAGCGGCGAACGTCAGATCCTGATTGGCCCGACGTGTTTCTTCTGGTCTTGCTCTGTGGGCGAGTAAAACTCCACAGCTGTGAGTCTGAGCAGAATCTGGAGGACGAATCCTGGAGCACGTCCAGCATGCTCAGGATATCTTTGCCTTATCTGGCTTCACTTAACCTAAGATCAGCAGTCAGCAATCACACGACGGCTGTTATCAGCTGGATGTGTCAGCTCAGGGCTTTCAGTCTAACTATCAGCATCTCACAATCACAGGAACAGGTCTGCTGGCAGCGTTTCACAAACAAAGATCAAACTGAAATATTGGAAAAATATGAATCGGCAGCACGTGAGAGGTGGTTAGTTAAGCTGTAGTTCGTCTAATGCTAGAAACAGTAATCAGGTCCACTGCTCCTTCATTAACACAAGGGAAGAACTGGCTTCAAGTACAGATGTGTAGCCTGCTGCTTGAATAAAGGTTATTATGGTTATTCAGCTGCAGCCTGATTGGTTTTAAACGGTCTGAGAGCAAGTGAAGAATTTAACAAGCAGAATTTTACCTGCAAGATGAACAAATACAAGGTTTAGGTGTCATGTTTTAAGGAAATATGGCAATTATTAGGCTTATAAAACAATGAAATATACTTGGAGTCTTCTGGGTCGTGGTGGGGGAGGTGGGGGGTCACGAGTGAAGGAATAATTACTTCTGTGAATCTCTTTTTTTTATTGGTTGTCATTCAGGAAAGACAAAAACCTTAGCTCCTCCTACTCCCTGAGCATGGAAGTCTCCGGGATCTTCAAGGAATTCTGTCTCTTTTCTTTTCCAGAGGACTGATTGGCTGGTAGTTTTACGCACCTTATCTCGAGTTCTCAGGTCAGTTAGGTCTGCAGCATAATTTCCAATAATTCAACTAAAGTTTTATTTATAGAAGACGCCAACAATCAGACAACCTCTATGAGCAAGCACTTGGCAACAGTAGGAAGGAAAAACTCCCTTTCAACGGGAAGAAAGCTGTGATAGAACCAGGCTCAGGGAGGGGCGGGGCCGTCTGCCACGACCAGCTGAGGGAGGAAGACGGGACGAAATGACAATGATGCGCGCTGATAGGAA